GGGTTCTTTTGGGGCGCTTCTATAGTTTACATAAGGGTTCTTTCGGACTCTTCTGCAGTTCTACATAAGTGATGTTGAGGGCTTCTTATGGAATGTTCGTACATGTTCTTTTTCTCAAGGCTCTGGTACGGATTCATCTAAGACGTTTGCTAGGATGCTAGGGACCTTATACAGGTTCATACTTAAGGGCCCCTTGAAGTCCTTATGTCCTTATACGGTTTAGTGTTTAGGTTTTAGTGTAACCCCAAACCCTACACCCTATGGCTTATGGGAGTGCCAGCCGCCGGCAAATACATCTGCCTCCTCGGATGGTGTGCCAGGGCCCATCGAGACGGCTCAGGGGGATGATCGCCTTGAGTTCAAGATTTGTTTCTTAGGCTGTATGGGAATGGGCGTAGAGGATTTTAGGTTTTGGCTGCAAGGTATCGGATATAGAAGCTCGACGGTCGAACTGGTACTGTGGGAGAAACATATCCTTTTGTGGGGTGTTTGTTTGGGATGTGTGGGGTTTACTGTTTCGGATTGAGCCGCTGAGAGCAGAGGGCAAGGTCGCAGGATTTCGGGATGCAGACTTAGGGAGTGCTTTCCAAAGAGCTTGGGGTCACAGGGTCTCTTGGAGAGCTTCGGTTACGGTTCAGGCTTCAGCAAGAGGCTTCCCTTTCGTGCATGGGGGGGGGGGGGTTTCAGGCTGTACGATAAACATCTTACCATTGAGGAACTGTGTCAAAAATGAGGGTCCCTTGCCTTCAGAAAGTGCCGTTTACCAGTGTGCAAGCTGTGCTAGAGCCTGCGATTGAAAAGGCAGCCACGGCGCTCGTGCCTGAACCAGACGGCTGCATTGAAAAACAAAGTGGCAAATGCTGCGTGCCAACGTAGAGACAGGCTATAAACACGACTGTATCAGACCGAGAACCTTAGACCCAAAAACCCAAATATCTGAGCCCAAGATCCAAAACCCAAAGCCATAATTCCGAAGCCCACCCCATGAACCGCAGAGCAGCTCCGGAGGTTCTTTCATTACCTTGCGGTCCAAAGGCCTGTCGCACCACATCGTTGGTGGTGCTTCGCGAGGCGTCGAAGTGTGGCATTAGGGAGCGGGTGGCCAGCGCATCGCAGAACTCTAGCAGATGACCCACCTCAGCCGTGGAGCATTACGAGTAGCTTGGGCCAGGGGAATCCGGACTGCAGCAAAGTTTGTCGTTTCTTCACTGTCGGGCCAAAGTGTCCTTGACACCTGGGCTTTGCTCCATGCAGAATAAGAAATGGCCGCTGCCGAACAAAGTGGCAGCGATGGCAGCGCCTGCCCCAGGGCGGCTTGATTCCTTGCCGTCCAAGCTGCAGTGAAGCTCCGCATGGCCAACTCAGAAACCTTCGCCTGGCTGTGGTAGGGCGGGGCTTCAGCGCCTAAACGGAAAAGACACGTCGTAGTGAATAGGTTTGTTAAAAAAAATTCATTGGTTTTTAAATGCACTTTAGCAAGTTCGTCCTGCCGACAAGGCCGTTCCACCCCGTCTCAGAAGCGAGATCCTAAGATCAGGGTCTGGTTTGGAGGTTTGGGATAGAGGGCGGTGTGTCCTTGTATTGTGATTAGTATTGTTTTAATTATCATGACTGTTCATGTTATCTACTTATACATTTGTTGTTACCATGATGACACTTTTAGGATCTCGGGTGTGGGAACCATCTGACAGACGTATTGAAAACTTGCGCGGGTCTGTGGTGCATGGCCTCCTCAGTCTAGAAGACTCATGTAGCGGACTGAACAATTACTCACAGTCTTCCTGAGGGCTACTTATCATAATGATAGAAAGTTTAATTCTAGTCTATAACTATAGACTACGGCAATAGTCTGTTAGCAGACCCCGACCCACCCCAGTCCAATTGTCCAGGCCCCGGTCTTCTCCTATGGTAGACACTTTCATCATGGAGCGCATCAAGCCCACTGAAGGCATACGGCGGCCTCGACCGTCATGTTCTAAGTTCCATGTCCGCAGGCTGATGAAACCGCAAAAACTCGACACCGGAACAACCACGTTCTCACTTAAAGGGCTGAATACCCTGGCCAAAGAGAACTAGCTCTTTCATGCTGGTAGGTTCGGCAGGTTCATATACCGACCGAAAAAAGCTAAGCTTCTAAATATGGTACGGCTATATATGCCCCCCCAAAAGGCTGACCTCTCACCCTGTAGAGTAAAAAAGCACTAAGGGTACATGTTGCCTACACAGCCCTCCACAGCCCTCTAGACGGCCGGATAGAAAGATCGAAACCCCACCATTATGTGTTTTTGGGAGAGGAGCAGGGGCGGTAATGGTCAGGAGGGGGTTTTGGCATATGTTAAGGTATAATGATGTCGGGACTCTCAAGGCGTTCTACCAGTCATCAGTCAGACCTTATTCTCAATCCTGGGAATAAGCTACGATAGGACCGCCAAAAGACCAGGATCTAGAACCGCAGAGCTTGAAAAGGAAAACCTTACGCCCTAACACGGGACAACCCCAGAGCCAGAACCCCCTCCCGAGCAAAGACAAAATACACGATGCTAACTGTGAACCCCAGGACCCTGACTTGAAATGGAAAAACCGTTACAATCCGGTCAGAATCCCGCAAGAACGCTACAAGAGCCCGGCCGCAAGGCTACAAAAAACACCCTTCAAACTTCCTAAACCCCAAACCCCAAAACCCATATCCAAAACCTAAACCCGAAAGCCTAAAGCCACACCCTAAAGCCCTAAACCCTAAAACACTAAGCCCAAAACCCTAAAGCCCTAAGCCCCAAAACCTGGGAAAACCCAGTGCCTCCCACTCCGACCTTGGCTCCTCGGCTTCTTTGGCCAAGCCAAGCCCCATCTTCTCCCTCGCCGGCTGCACTCGGACAGAGGTCCGGGGACCTCTGGAGGGTTTATGTTTAGGGTTTATAGGCTTTAGGGTTTTAGGGTTTAGGGCTTAGGGTTTTAGGGTTTAGGGCTTATAGAGTTTAGGTTTATAGGGTTTAGGGTTTAGGGTTTAGGGATCAGTATTAGACTGATGATCATAACAGCAACACACGATGATACTGATAGATATACCAATACTGGCGATTATATGCATAAAGACGTAGATTTTAAATCTAGATCATCTAGATCTTAGGTCTAGATAGTCGACATGGAGATAAAGATGTAGATAAAGATACAGGCGTAGATATAGACAGAGACATGGATAGATATTGAGATATCGCTAGATATTGAGATAGGGACACGGACATGGATGGGTGTAGGCAAAGAGAGCTCAAGGTACAAAGATAGCTAGGCATGTTTATATAGATGAGCTTAAAAATCATCATTTGCCTTAATGTCTCTCTGGTTGCTTAGAGCGGTGCTGTATGTAAACATGTATATGTGCATATGCGCAGGGTTCTCCATGCAGAATCAGCATGGAGGCAACAACAAAATTGTAACAACAGAGCGTGGAAGGAGAACAACCCATACATTCATGGCCACAGTCTAGTGCTGCCCCAGCTACCGCCACCAACACCACCACCGCGTTCACCATGAGAACTCTGAACAGATGTCCAGAGCACCAAAAAGAATAGAAGCGCTCGTAAAGATCACTACTGCTGACAGCAGAGATGGCAACAGCAACAGCAGTAGCAGCAAGCATACTGACAAACAACAGAATTCAAGTCATATCTGCACGTCACCATGCCCACGCACCCCCTCAAGTCTAAAGCCAAAGCTCTGAAGCCAACAACCCTAGACTCTAAAACTCCGAACTATACCTCAAACCCACCTAATTACCCTTTTCCCCCAACCCTACAATGGCTATAAGCCCTAAACCCTAAACCCTAAACCTACCCTGGCGTCGGAGGGGCAGAGGTCGAAAACACTGCGCAGGCATCTCTGCAGCAGACGAAGGCAAGCCGAAGCATCTAAGCTGCAAGGCAGCCTAGGATCCGGGTTTGGGGTTTCGGTCTAGGATCCCCCAGTAACCTAGGAGTAGAAAGGGCTCCCGTTTTGCCCACAAGACAAGAAGGGAAAAGGGCACCCTAAACCCTAAACCCTGAGCCCTAAAACCCTAAAGCCCTAAAGCCCTAAACCCTAAAACCCTAAAACCCTAAACCCTACTAAACCCCCTAAAACCCTAAACTCGGAGACCTAGCAACTTGTAAAGCTCCAGGAATAAGCCAGACCTGAGCTCTGCCGAGGAAAGATGCCGTTTAGGGCTTTAGGGAAAAGGGTTTAGGGTTTAGGGTTTTAGGGTTTAGGGCTTTAGGGTTTTAGAGTTTAGGGCTTCAGGGTTTTAGGGTTTAGGGTTTTAGGGCTTTAGGGCTTTAGGGTTCTAGAGTTTAGGGCTTCAGGGTTTTAGGGTTTAGGGTTTAGCATGCATTTCGAGGCATGAGCTGGGTGGGGCAATCTCCGCGTGCATTTCGAGGCATGAGTTGGGTGGGGCAATCTCCACGTTTCGGGCTTAGGGCGATAGAATACAATATGAACTATAATGGAAGGTGATATAAGAATATAGTACAAAAGAACATCATACCGTATAATGTAATATAACCTACAACATAATATAACATAATATGCTATCATATGATCTACTATGACAATTATACAAGACTATGTTATACTATAATATAATACAGTATCATATAATATAATATAATATACAATATTATAATCCAATATAATACATTATAATGTAATACAGTATAATATAATACAATGTAGCATAGTATGGTAAAGTATAGTTTAGTATATAGGGTTGAGGGAAGACCGAAGATCTGCTCTTCTCAGGACATGCTCTTGCTTGCAGCTCCGCGGCGGAACAATCGTCGAGGCGGAGAGGAACCAGAGCAGCAAAGGCACCCAAGTCAGAGGAGCCCCGATGACGAAGCTGATGATGCTCATGGCAAGGTGTTCTGCAAGACGTAGCCAAGAGAAGGGCGGAGACTGCCAGCAGAGAGCCACGTCCAGAGGGATTAAAAATGCACAAGCCGCTGTCAGGAGCGTGCCTGTGTACATGACGGTGACAATGCCAATGTGAGCGCAACACGACACCTTCCCTTCAAACTTGTCCTTTTCGAAGAACATCATGCCGATCAAGGTTCCAGCAACCACGAGACATGGAAGTCCAGCATACGCTGTACCAGCATAGACCACAAACCACACTGCATACGGGCTATAGAGGAGGGTTGCGATCGCATTCATCCGCAAGAAGATGTCTGAACCCAGGTATACGGTAAGGCACAGTCGGCCGATGGTGCCCATGATCATCCCCTTGCCCTGCAGAGGAACTTGCTTCAGAGTCTCGAAGCCTCTACCGAACAGCCATTAAATACTGCACTAAATACCTTGATCGCCCCATTTCAGGTACTAGAAGAAATTATGCAGGTGGCAGTAACCCCAAGACCCAAAGCCCTTAAATCCTAAACCCTTAACCCCAAAAGCCTAAGACATAGTGCAACTCGGGCGTGGACGTCGTCAAACCGCTTCCGTCGCATGTGCTTCTGCTCCTCTTCATGTCGCCGGGATAGCCTGGTCGGATGGTGGTCGTCCGTTTAGGACTTAGGGTTTAGGGTTTACGGGTTTGGGGGTTCAGGGTTTAGGGTTCAGGGTACTAGCACGAATAATAACAATAGAAATCAAATGTACTAGTACTCATATTAAAAACGACAATATTAAGTAGCACGTAAAAGCAACTAACAATGACAACAATAACAAAGATCGAAATAACAACAACGAAAGACAATACCACATATTAGTACAAACCGCAATCGCAAGAGCAAGAGCAATAACAATAACACAGTACATAGCAGTGATAACCGTTAGATGATGAATAACAACAATCATAAACAATAGCAGACTAGTCACAACAATAACACTACAGTAGCAATAGCAATAAAAAGAGGCATAAAGACAATGGTCATGTTGGAAAAGATAAACGAGTACGTCTGTGACTGTAAGTGTCTTGGAGGCTAGGGTGTACGACTTTGTGGTTCGAGGATCATGTGAATTTATAGGTTCAGGCTGGCACTGGGTTTGGAGTGTTGGGCTTCGGTTTGGGGTCCGACGTGCGCATGGCTAGAGTACCCCTGCTGTGTTTGGGGCCGTTCTACCAATGCCCCTCCTGTGCACGGAAACGCTCGACAGCCCAATTGCAATCGCCACGAAGGAAAGCAGAAAGGACTGCCACTGTATGTACAGAATCGGCGCATCCATCGACAACTCCTCACCCAGATGACAGGCTCAGGGTTCAATTCACAGGGAGGGCAGTTGGTGTTTCTTTCTGATGGCAGTGAGGAATTGTGCTCGACGCTGGAAGCTCGGGTCAACGAATCAGGTCTCGAAGCATTGAGCCCTAAGCCCTTAACCTGTACTTTTGGGGCTTACGGGCTACAGGGTTTGGGATTCTTGCTTCTGGCCTAATGGGGATACATGTGGGGTCGCGGTTTGGTAGAGTTTCGGGTTGGGGATTTGAGTTGGGATTACAAAAACTTCCAGGGCTCTACGCTCCAAGTTGTGGCATCATTACTCGGCAGGGGCCTCAAGAGGGGGTTCAGGGTTTAGGCTTGAGGGCCCAGTTCCAGCCAGTTCTCTTTGTACTCCCGAAGATGTCGCATTGCTCTCCCTGAGTCCCGAACAGGTACCCCGCCCCACAAGCCTGATCCCCGGATCCCCGAACATGAAGCACCAAACCCAGAACACCAACCCTAAACCCTAAGCCCAATAAGCACCAAACCAAACCCTAAACCCTAAACCCTAAACCCTAAACCCCAAACCCTAAACCCTAAACCCAATAAGCACCAAACCAAACCCTAAACCCTAAACCCTAAACCCTAAACCCTAAACCCTAAACCCAAAAAGCACCAAACCCAGAACACCGAACCCTAAGTGACGTGGAGCAGAAAACGTCCATCAACAATAGGGTTCTGGGGACCCCTAGGCCCCATAGGGGCTTTGGAGTACCATACTTTAATACTTTTTTTGGGGACCTGTTCCTTGAAGGAACCATTAGAAAGTAAAAGTCTATATTTTCAACAACAGCCCAGCCCTGTCCTCGTACAGAACGAGACCTCATGAACTGTCAAGGGTTGCTACGGTTGATGATATAAATCCTGCATTTCCCATTATAATAAATATACCATAATTCCCATAGTTTAGGGTCCTTAAGGTAGTGCAGGATTTATATCATCGACAGTAGGATTTAGGGGTTCGGAGTTTTAGGGCTTCGGCTTCCGATAAACCCTCAACCCTACACAGGGCTGCGTGCAGATTTGCGGATGGGGAAGTTCGGGATGCGAGGCTAAGGGAGTGCAGGATTGTGGGTCTTTGAGGTGGTGGCCTGGGTTTCAGCGCTTGGAGTTCTAGGTATCATTTTTGTTGGGTGTTTCGGCTCGAGTGGCTTATGCCTAAACCCTACACCCTAATTCAAGTTTGGGCAAAGGCATCGCCGGCGCCTAGGCTAGAAAAGGGTTTGTGCACCCCTTTCTTCGGCATCAACCCCCGAAGGCCCTCAAGCGATACGAGGTTCCCCAGTCTCCCCTTAATAAGAAGGCTTTGGGTACCCTTTCTCATAAGGCCACCCAGACAAGAGAAAGGGCAAACGGGTACTGCGGGTGAGCCTAGACTAGAGAAGCCTGGATCTGATTGGCAAAGTCTATTTGGGTAGATCTCTCAAGTAGGGTCCCTTGCAGCGTCCTTTTTATAAGGATGGCGTACTATTTTGGGGACCTTAAAGGGACCTTGCTTTAGATAACTACCCATCTTTTGGCTAAGAGTCGGGTTCCGACAGGACACAGCCTAAATGCTGTTACCGCAGAGCTTTCGTGTCTTGGTTTGGGGCTAAATGTGTCAGGCTTGCGGTTTAAGGTTTTCAGGTTGCATACCTTCCCAGTAGTTACCCGAAGCCCTCTGTGGGCCTTGGATGATGGCCTGCGGCGTCGCTTCAAAAGTGGCTTCCATGAGCCGCAGATACACCAGGACCTGGATTTAACTTTCGGGTGCGCGCCTGTGCTTGCTTGCACATTTAGTTTTGTTGGGTGAGTTGTACGGGAAATTCCAAATAGCGAATTACGGGACACCGTAGCAGCGGAGAGCTTGTCTCTTCCCCGACTTAAGCTTCAGGGTTTTCAATACCGCTACCTTGACCCCAAAGAACCTACCCTTTCCGGGTTTCTTATTATAGTTTAGTTTCTTTATAGAAGTCCTTAAAAACCTACCTTTTTCGGGTTTCTGATTATAGTTTCTTTACAGAAGTCCTTAAACAAAAGGTACTTTCTTTGGAGGGTTTTTGTAGTGATTCAGACCGAAGCACCTCTCCGGGATCCTTCTTGTCCCTGAGGCTTGGCTGCGCGCAATTCCACTGACCTTGAAGATGGAGGGCCGGTAATGTAGGGGCCTTAATAAATTAGAATAGGGTTCCTTTAGGGGTTCATTTCAAGGGGGCTATAAGGGATCCCATTTTTCTATAATTATGGTATGGAACCCCCCCAAAATAGTATTGATAATCAATTTGGTCCTTATGTTACATCGGCGAGAAGACACGGTTGCTTGGGCCTTTAGGGTTTAGGGTTTAGGGTTTGGGGCTTAGGGTTTAGGGTTTAGGGTTTGGGGTTTAGGGTTTAGGGTTTAGGGTTTGGGGCTTCTGGAGCCTCCTCTCATATAGTCTGCCATGAATCCTCCAAGGTTTCAATGTTTCCTTGACTGATGTTACACCCTTTGGAATGAACAAATCCAAAACCCTAAAACCCTAAAACCCTAAAGCCCTAAAACCCCAAACTAAACCCAAGACCCTAAACCCTAAACCCCTAAACTAATTCCCAGCTATTAGACTTCCCACCCAAGCATCTATGCGTCTGCAGAGAGGCCTTGGACGGCCCTCCCTGTGTTCCTCTAAGAAATCCTTTAAGGGCTCCCCTAGAGGTTTAGGGTTTAGGGTTTAGGGTTCTAAGAAATCCTTTAAGGGCTCCCCTACAGGTTTAGGGTTTAGGGTTTAGGGTTAGAGTAGGAGCCAGAAAGTTGGAACATCAAACTTCCTCATGCCCTTAAGGTAAAGTATAGGGGATTTCAGCACTAATCATCCTAAATCCATGTTCCACCTTTCTGGGATTCACTATAAAGGGAAAGGATTGCATCCGAAACCCTAAACTTACCTTTGGTTTGTAGGGAATGGAAGAATGGTAGCAATAGTAGTTATAATTGTACCCCATTCCTCCATTCCCTACTAACCAAAGGTAAGTAAGCCCTAAACCCTGGCCTTTGATGGTGTCTGCAATGACCGCCAGCTCCCCCAGAATTGGGATGTAAGCCTCGGGCGGTTTCGATTGTCGGCTTTACTTACCTTTGGTTAGTAGGGAATGGAGGAATGGGTACAATTATAACTACTATTACTACCATTCTTCCATTCCCTACTAACCAAAGGTAAGTTTAGGGCTTAGGACGTAGGGTTGTGTAGGTTTATTGGGCTTGCAGGGCTCATAAGGTTCTAGGGCTGCAGGGCTTACGGCCAGGGTATAGATCAAAGTTTCCCATTGAACTCTGCTTAGCAGCAAAGCGGGGGCACATGGGCGGATTCTCCTCGCGAAGTCCGAGGAAATCCTCAGCGACGTCGTTCACAAAACGAAGAAAGGCAGCGTAACCCTAGACCGCTGAACCTGAACGGTAAACAATATACAACTGGGCAGCTCCCCTAAGCCCTGAATTTTAGTGGATTCGGGGTGTAGGGCGCAGGGTTTGGGGATTGCTACTTTGTGGCACCTGGCCGATATTTCCGTCGAAGCTTCTGGTGTGCAGGGATTCATGGTGAAGCTGCTCATGCACCAGCGCAGCAATGTCCTCGGCACGGGTACGAAGTTTGGAGACCACCCTAAACCCCAGATCCTAAACCCTAAACCTATAGATCCTAAACCCTAAACCCCAGATCCTAAACCCTACACCCTAGATCCTAAACCCGGAACTGGAACTTTAGCATGATGGGAGTCTTGGGGAATCCGCCCCCCTGCAGCAAAAGCTCGGCAAGATCAAGAAGGTCAGCGAGGCTGCAAAAAGGCCGTGCCGTCCTTCCTGGACAGTTGGGGCAATACCAGGGCCTTGTACGGATAGAGTAGGATTTTTCTTTGGAAAGCGGCGTCGGGGACTCTTGTAAGTAAGGAAATTAAATCTGTAATGGGCAATGGGGACTATAAGCGGAAATTGTTACTATCGCATCATGAGGCTGGGGCATAGTTTAAAACTCACTTTGTGCATGACCTGCATGTGTTGCTCCAAACGTAGCGGGGCTCATGGGCTGTCCACAACCTACCAACTCCGATCTACATATTATAAGTGGTTCTCTAAATTCGCGTTCAAGGTACTTTTTGGGCATCTAAAAAGGGACTCTAGTTATATTTAGAGAACTACCCATATGCAGAGCGCATTTTCTCTCCAAGCCTACACCTCTAACTTTTTGCGACACTCTACAAGATACCAGACCATGTAAGAACATCCCAGAGCGTCGCGTCCTGGTGCAGGAGTGCGGCCACCCACACGTCCGTCGTGAAGTCCACCACATGAAGGAGCCAAACCTATAGGTCTTCCACTCTGGTCTTCACACGAACCCCGAAACCCCAAGAGCCTAAACCCTACATGCCCTAAGAATAAGGCCTGTGGCAAGCTGGCTTCGACCAGGGCCTTTGCACCAACCAGGACCCACAATTTAAAACACAACGTCAAAAAAAGGTCCCGTATTTCCTGGGAATGTGGGGTCTGTCTTGGTGTGCTTGGTTAGTTTATTCAAGCTCTGTGCATCCGGACGGGGCGAGACATAAAAAAGGCCCTCCGTCCAAGTGTGCACTCCCGATGGGCTAGACCCCAAACCCTAAACCCTAAGATAGAGCGCAAAGTCCCATCGTTTAGGGTCTGTAAAGGTCCTGCCCTGGTCTTTGAGTCCAGCAACAGCATGTCGGCATCCACAGTTCACCCTAAACCAGAAACCCTAAAATCCCAAACCCTGAAGTCCTAAACCCTAAAATCCTAAACCCTAAAGTCCTAAACCCTAAAGTCCTAAACCCTAAAGTCCTAAACCCTAAAGTCCTAAACCCTAAAATCCTAAACCCTAAAGGTTGGTGGTTTAGGGTTCAAGTTCAGTGCTTAGGCTTTAGGGTTATCTTCAACTTCCACCGGCAGCCGACATGCCCGTGCGCACATGTTGCCCCAAGCCCTAAGCCCTGAGCCACGAGGCCAGGGATTTCGGATGCATATTAGTATTTGACTTCTACAGGGACTGTTTTTTCTTTAGAAAAATCATGTAGAAGTCAAATAGAATATGCATTCTACAGGGACTTTAGGGTTCAGGGTTTAGGGTTGAGGGACGAAAAGGAAATGCATTTTCAAACCATATAAAGTCGACCTGCGTCTGGGATTTAAGCCACTACCAAGGGGCCAACAGCAGCCGCGTAGCGAAGAGGAACGACCGGAATCCTGGTCGGAAAGTTTTGAGTTTTTGGTGTCTCGCTTTTTCTTCTGCGAATCTCCAGACCCTAAACGGCCCTAGAAATACCTCGACAGCCACTGACTTCTGGATTTTTGGTCTAGGGGTTGGGGACTATCGAATCAGTGGCAACTATCTGCTTCTTGCCTTCACGATCACGTACCTGGTCCTAGTCATTGCCGCCATCATCGCCATCGTCATCGTTACCATCATCATCATCATCATCATCATCAGCATCATCATCATCATCAGCATCATCATCATCATCGTCACCCTCATGAACACCAATATCTTCATGGTCATCACAATCATTATCATCGTCGTCAGCAGCAACACCATCAACATCATCATCATCATCATCATCATCATCATCATCCATAGTCACCAGGAGCACTATCAACATCATAGTTAGTTACCATCATCATCACCAGACTCTTCTTGCATCATCGTTCTCACGATGCTGCCATCATGGCTCAGTTGGGGGAAAACGTAAATCATAGGGGGGGCGCAAACCCGAAGATCCCCACAGTGAGATCCTGGCATCGGGAGCTTTGGTTGGGCTGCTTAAGGGTGGCTGAAACCTTCAAGCCTTGCTCTGGTTCCTCAACCTTCATCGCCGAGCCCTGAACTCTGAAGCCGTCCTCTCCAAATAACATCCCATGTCTTCCTGACCACCTCCCACCGGTCCCAAACCCTGAAGCACAAAGGGCCCAGAACCCCGCAACTAATCAATGTACCTTAACTCTCTTAGTAGGGCACCGATTATACTGTAAGGCATCTTCCTTAACTAACCAATATACCTTAACCCTTAGTAGGGCTCCGATTATAGTGTGGGGAAATTCCTTAATTACGGGGTTTGGGAGCGCCGGGTATGTAAGTCTTCAACCTGAAAGCCGCCAAAGGCTCTGCGCTGAGGCTTGGATGGTGTCACATCTGCAGAGAGCGCATGGAACCCTGAGCTCAGATGTTTAGAGTCGACATGAAGCTTACCCTCCTCATTGTTTTTAAAAAAACTATTGCTAGTTCTTCTATATTATTGATGGTATAATTAGTGTTGATACGGTTGTTACTATTAATTACTGTGCTATTATTGTTAGTGCTATTTCTGTTTTCATTCTCACTGCTACTGGTACCAGTATAATTCGGGATCCTAGACCCTAAACTCAAAGGGCTCAACCCTAAACCCTAAACCCTAGAGTTCAAAATCCAGTCGGGAGCTGATCCAAGCACGGTCGCACGCCTTGCTTGTTTAGGGTGCAACGGTTTCGGGTTTAGGAGTTTAGGGTTTTAGGAGTTTTGGGGGCTTAGGAGTTTAGGGGTTTAGGAGTTTAGGAGTTTAGGGGTTTAGGAGTCTAAAGGTGTATTTGCTTGCCTCTGCATCTGCGTGGATAGGCCTGCTGCCCATGTCGGTGTTCCTAGAGGTTGGTACCGTCAGGAATAGTAGTATAAGTGACTGTTTAGGGTCTTCTATTTTTGGAGCTCAAACTTGTTTGACGTGTCGGGCGTAAGTTGAACCCCTCATGGTCTTCGGATTGGAGGCCTCGAAGATGTTGCGTTCACGGCCGCTGTCGAAAATCGCGGCACACTGACCCGTAACAACATCAGGCAGCAACGCAATCAGAACAAAACCCAAAGATCACCCGCGGCCAGCAGCAACATCAACCGCAGCAAGGAGGGCGAGGACGAGGACGCGGACGACCCAAATTCTGAACGCTAAACCCCTAAACCCTAAACCCTAAACCCTCAAACCCTAATCCAAAACCTCCTACATCCTGAAAGCTCCAAACTCCAAAAACCCCAAAACCCCTGAAGCCCAAAAGCCCCGAACGCTAAACTCAATCTCTCTAACCCCCAAGCCTAAATCACCTTCATATCAGGGAGCCCGAACCAGGATCTGCGTAGAGGCCTACCAATTCCGCCGCGCTTGGCATAGCAGGGCACCACTCGGATGTTGAGTGCTTAGGGCTTGGGGTTGAAGGGCTTAGGGTTTTGGGATGTAGGGTTTTGGGTTTGGGGGTGAAGGGCTCAAGGCCTGCGGTGTAAGGTTTGGGGTTTAGGGTTTGGGGTTGAAGAGTTTATGGCTCAAGGGGAGAAGGTCTTGATCCTTGTGTGAGTTCAGGGCTTCAACCCTAAACCCTTTTGAGGGCTGTTCAAGGCCCGCGGATTCTTGTTGGGTAGTTCTAAAAACTAGGGTCCCTTTTGGGATCCCTTTGTATAAGCGGGCCGTACTCTTTTGAAAGGGACCCTCATTTAGAGAACTCGCCTTTTGAGGAACCTCCGATCTCGCATCGGCCAGGGCTGCAGCTCAAGGTGGATTAGAATAATGTCCCAGACCGCCGGGAGGATCCAAAAAGTAGATCCCTTGATGGGGGTTACTGTAAAGAGCCCTTGGTAGTATGGGGTCCCAAATTAAGGGTTCTACTTTCTAGATCCTTCCGGGGGTCTGGGGCAATGATTAGAATAGGGTTCCTGTAAGGGTTCCTTTCAAGCGGGCTATAAGGGATGATATAAGGCTCTAATATGGGGGCCTTAGTATTTAGAATAGGGTTTTGGGGTACAATAACCTCTAACTATAATAAGGAGCCCCCCCAAAAAACTTAAGGGTCATGGGCTTTTACGGTTTTCCTTTAGGGGTTTAGCGGGTTTGGGGGTTCAGGGTTGAGGGCTTAGGGTTTAGGGGGTTTAGGGGTTTCAGGGTTTAGGGTTGAGGGGTGGTGAGGGCTAAGGATTGCTCGTGGCCAAACAAAACCTTCCGACGGCTTCCTTTTCACTCATTGCCCCAGACCCCCGGAAGGATCTAGAAAGTAGAACCCTTAATTTGGGACCCCATACTACTAAGGGCTCTTTACAGTAACCCCCATCAAAGGATCCGACGGCTTCCTTTTCACTCTGGGGCTTCGTGTCTTTGCGGTAGAAGATCCGGCGTCCGGTTTGCCGGAACCATAATAATAATAGTAATAATAGTAGTAATAATCATAGTAATAGTAATAATAAGGATTTACACGACCGCACCGGCGCCGTCAGCACAGCACCAAGGCCGCAGTGGCTGCGTCTTCTGGGCACTATCAGGGTGCGCTGTAATATTGTGGAAACTGTTTGCTATACTTGTATTCAGACATTCAGGAGCCCTAAAGGAACAATAGTACTAACTATAAAGGAACAATAGTACGAACACTTTGCACCTCGGGCTCGGAGGTTGACTCCTGGCTCGGTAAGCCTGAAACCATCCCGAGGAGAAGCATGAAGGAACCTTCGTCTGCGGAACCTCCGCGATCAGTCCCAAGGAAATAAGCCCGAAATCCTAGACCCTGAAACAGTAAACTAAGCCTAAATCCTAAACCAATCCCAAACTCCCTCCCTAATCCCTCAACCCCTACCCGAACTGGACCAAATCTGCGAAGGACGGCTCAGAAACCCCGCGAACTGAAACCCGAGAAAGGCTTAGGGTTGGGGGGTTTCGGACGGGTTGAGGGTTTTTTAGGGCTTAGGGTTTCCGGTTTAAGGTTTATAGGGGTTCAGGACGGTTAGGGTTCAGGGTTTCGGTACTTGAGGGTTTAGGGGTTTAGGGGCTTTGGGCTTAAAGGGTTTGGGGCTTACAGTAGGGTAGACCTCTGCAAAAGGACCTGTCCTCTAGCTCCGTCTTTGTAGCGCCTTTTATCGGAGAACCACAGCTGCCGAGTAAGCTGCATCGCGATGCACGAAAATGTCAAGTATACAACAGCTTGACCAAACAAGTCCTTCGGACTTCGTCATCGACTGATCACCTTGGGGCCTTCTGAAGTATTGGCTGGGGTCCAACAGGTTAGACCCCAAAGTGACCAGGCTGGGCCAGATTATGAGGAAGTCGAGACTCAGGGTACACAGCGATCAATCCCCGAGCATCAGACAGAGCAAAGAAATTTGGCCGACGGAGGCAGCAGGTGTGCATCAGAGTTTTGAGGCTGATAGGTTCCCTGCGCACATAAGAATGTCCCAGGATTGGCTTTCACGGTGGCGGGAATCCTATGTCTAAGCCATCGGTGGGCCTAGGATGACTGGGGCCTCTCGCCGGTCAACCTGCGGATATCGAAGATGTCTGCTACTCGCCCACTTCCGTCTACGAGATGTCTCGCCTACGTTGCCACTGAAGTAGATTGTGGATAAGTCTCCTTCGCATATTTCTCACCCACCTACTCACAGGAGCCTGGGCCCGTGGCCATCTGGCTCCCATAGAACCTCTGCATAGCCTACTAGAGCACAAGAAACACGCACTGAGACAGAGAAAGAGATACACATCTACATACATGTTTATATGCTTAAATACATACAGACAAGCTGACAGACAGACACACATACGCACATCCATACCCGCCATAGTGCAACATACCAGACAAGACCCTCTCATACCATGCATACCATGCATGCATGCACGCTACATATATATATATATATACACACCCTTCCTACATGCATACATATGCGCGTGTGCATTAAAAAGTATACACATGATGTATATGTACATGCATACATATACGTACAACATACAGACATACAGACATACACACAGACGTAGATACCTACCTACCTACCTACCTACCTACCTACCTACCTACCTACCTACCTACTTACGTAATTACTTACGTAATTACTTACTTACTTACTTACTTACTTACTTACTTACTTACTTACGTACATACTTACTCACTTACGTGCACACATATATTATACATACGTACATACATACATACATACATACATACATACATACATACATACATAGATACATACATACATAGATACATAGATACATACATACATAGATACATACATACATACACACATACATACATACATACATACATACATACATACGTACATGCGTACAGACTTATATGCATGCATGGATGGAGGGATGGATGGAGGAT